GTCGTCGGGGTGGTGGTGGTAGTAGTTACTTTATTGAGCAGTAGCAGTAGTACTTTAGTAGTCACAGTTTCGCAGTGAGCGACAGTTCGAGTCGAGGAGTCTTCGGCTCAGAAGCTAACGCGAACCCTTTCATTTTCTGGTGGCCATGGCTCTTCTGGCTTTGGCCATCGCTGTGGCCGTGCTGCCTGCAACCTCTCAGCAGCATGACTGTTCGATTTTGGGCTGCGAAGCCGATCCAAGCTTCCATTTTCAGCTCCTGCAGTACAAGATGGCGGCAAAGACTGCGCAAGATCACTCGGAGTGGATCGGGAAAGGTGGGAATGTTATCAGGTCTGGATCAACATGGGCTATCCCACCTGTGGACCTTTCAAAAGGTCCAACTTGGACATGGGAAGCTCCCTTTGGTGGCCTTGTGCGCGGCTCACCGGTGGTGGATTCCAAGGGCTGCATCTACCAGTCGACGATTGCTGGGGAGATCGTAAAGTTCTCGCAGACAGGCGATGTCCTCTGGGCCATCAGCACAGGAGGAATCTCCTTCCCTGGCAATCCGGTTCATCTAGCAGGTGTGCTCTACAACTTCGGGACGGATGGTCAAATGCTCGCCCTGGATGCCAATGATGGGAAGAAGCTGTGGCAGACGCCGGCCTGCGAAATGGCAAGTGGTGACACCCACACGATCATTGCGGGCGAGGGGGTCGTGCTTGCCTCGTGCTTGAACAAGGACGAGAACCAGGCTTTTGGCTCCGCCACAATGGTTGTCGCCTGCAATGCCACGGATGGGCAGGTCATGTGGAAGTACCGTCCAGATAGTGGCCTGTACAACTGGATCGGGTCGATTCAGTCTGGAGACGTTCTTTTCTCTGACATGAATGGGGGCGTCTATCGCATGAGCCTCAAAGACGGGTCTCTTGTCTGGAAGGTGCCTGCTCCAGCTGGGGCTATCTCGACCACTGGGGGCTTATCGGGCGCCGACAACGGCCTCGTCTACGTTACGCACAATCTGGACAGCCCCGCAGGACACGTGGGGGTACTCTCCGTGTACACCGCAGCAGATGGCAAGCCAGTCTGGCAACGCAGCTTCCCAAAGTTCCCAGCAAACTCTGGTCCAGCAGTTGCTACAGGTGCGGACGAGCCCTTTGTCGTCATCGCCATTGGGACTAACCCTGGCTTTGCTTTGCCGATGGGTGCCGTGTTGGACCTGGACCCATTTGATAAGAATGATACCAGCGGAACTCAGCGTAAACCCTCGAAGGCCGTCGCCATGGATGCAAAAGACGGCCGCTTGGTTAACCTTTTAGGGTTTGGGGTTTAGGGTTCGGGATCCTCTTAACCTCTCTGGTTTCCCGTAACGTTCTAAGATGTGGCCCCCAAAAAAGGGATCAGTTTTTTTCTCGACGCAGGCCATACCATCTGGGAATACCAATTCCCCGACTGGCACGGGGCAGCAGCCGGTGATACAGGCACTCACACTTGCTTGCCGGACTCCTATGCAAACCCCTCCATCGCTGGAGATGGTGCCGTCTTTTTGGCCGGTATGTCCGGCACCGTCTACCGCCTTCATGACAAGGACAAGGACGGTAAGTTTGATCCAGCCAGTGGTGAGGTCACGACGTATGACACCGGGAATGCATTCCAGGCCGCTCCAGCAATCAGTGAGGGCATACTCGCGGTGTCTCCTTGCAACGGATTGAAAGTGTTCCTGTCTTAGAGAGACGAGTCTGCTGGAGCCAACAAATTGCCAAGATGCCGCGCTTGCCTTTCTTTGCCAATTTCTGAAACGCTTTGATCACCAATCACAGCTCTGTCTTTTCCAGCCGCACGCAGTAAATGAGACACACCGAGGCGTTTCATCGCAATGCCTCCGTCCTTGCCGCGCTCGTAGAGGACTCCACATGTGGGCAATGCGGGTTTTAGGGTTTTTCCATGCAGTCGTTGTAGTAGAAGGTTAAGGTTGTTGTTGTTGTTGTTGTTGT